ATATATATATTTGAAACATTAGAAAATTTTTTCTACTATTCATTTTGGCTCATCATGTATACTTTGTGAATAAACAATGACAATTAGGATATTTTATCATATTACATTTTATCATAGTTTCGAATTAAATAAATTATAAGAATACATTTAATTTCTTAATGGTATTGCGAATCGACTAAGCCGCGATAATTTGTCACGCATATGTTCCGTTCCTTTCACAGAAGGAGAGGGCAAATATTGAAAAAGATGTCAAATATTAATCTTCCTTCAATATTTGCATTCGAACGGCTTGTATGCCCAAAAGCCCAATGTTAAACGCCAGTTGACGCTGTTTGTGTCATACATGCTCACTATCCCCGGAAGGATTATCATTGTCCTCACTACGATCCATCGCGCCTTGGAGCACATGGAATGTATATGACGTTGTTGCAACAACCGCTGTTACATCAATCCGCAAAAGCGATTCTCGTATTTCCCGAGGAATATATTTCCAGCGTAATGATAGCATGTCAGTGATAGGACTTGTTAAAGCTGCTCTACAAGATATAATTATACGTTTTCCGAGTATCTCGAACAGGCCCGTTATTCGTAATCATTTTCCAGAAGATTCATCTTTTCCCCGAGCGATCGTGACTTTCCGCTAAATTTCGCAGGTAAGCAGCAATGAGCATCTAAAACAAGCAATGTCTTGCTTTCTGAATGACTAAGTATGACTATCGTTGCACGCAATGTGGCAGAGAATAGAGATGGCCAGTTAGGTCAGCTGGCAACGTGACGTAAAAGATCGCATCGCATTTTCTTGCGTTTCCTCAACGTCTATATTTATCAGAACGTGTAATAAGTTAATAACCCCTTAACGTGTCCTCTCGATATTATTCTTGATCAAAAGCGGTATTAAGTGCTGTTTAATTTTTATCTGATAAAATTCAGAAGCTGATAACTAAATAGCGAATAATCGCTAAAGAGGAAAATATAGATATTTTCTTGCTAATGTGTAAATGTAGTAATGTGTAAATGTGAAATGTAGTAATTTTTTTAAGCAAAATGTTAAAAGGTTTTCTGATTATTATTTGTGATGATTAAAAGTGACATCAATGCGTTTAAGTACCAGATCTTTAATTTTGATCTAACGACAAAGTTGCGAAATCGGATTAAAACTGAACAATGGAAGTCACAAGAGGTTAAATATGTTTTTAATGTGGAAACTTTGAAATTGCTTGGATATTGTTGTGTGATTTACAAAGAGTGAACTATAAGTGGAAATGCACTTTGAAATGCGATTTGTTGTTGAAAAAAATAGATTTTGTGTTTATATTAAGAATCCCAAACTCTGGCATCAGATAACCTTAATTTTTTAAAATAATGCATGTAAAAAGTCGTATCGATTAATCACTTGACAAGATGATGGATCTCATTGTTAGGGAAATGAAAAAAAGGAAATATTACGATATTCTGGGATCAATTGATTGTTTTCCGATACTCTTCTACACAGATGATATAAATATAATTCAGATTAATGCTTTTTCATGACTACTTCAACAATGCATATATATGGATCGCATTAATTGGAACTGTATTTATACAATTTATGCATAGGATAAAAAGACGGTCGTGATATGTAATATTTAACTTTTTTTCTTATCTTTTCATTGAGCTCAATCATTTTGCCAAGTGATTAATCAATGTTCGCTGACATTAAAATTTTTACATTTATTTTTTAATTTAAATGTGTCTGAAGTTAAGTTTAGAATTTTTAATATGAGCCTGAAGAACTATTTTTTGTAAAAATCGCAGATCAAAAGCGCCATTTCGAGTCCTTGTTAGAAGTTTAATCAAGACCAATTAATCCTTATAAGTGCAGTTTTGAAGTTTTTTAAAACTGACTGCAGTCATATCAATTTATATTACAATACACTTTTGAAGTTTGCTTTTAAAGTACGTTCATATTCTAACTACAGAATCTATAGACAATATATTATTTCATCGCCTTCTTCCCTCATTGCATTTTCATTCAGTTTTCAAACCCCGTCTATGTCTCTCTACTTTCCATTAGCAATGGCGTACTTTTAATCGCATTTGCATACAGGAAAATCCGAGAAATAATGCCATTAAAAGCAGCGTAAGTTACTTTATTGACATAACTTTTTAGATTGAGTGTTGATAGAGCTTCGATTAATAAATTTAGTTTGTAACTATAGAGATACAACTTTTGTACAATTTTGCATCAAATGTAACAAATTCATTTCTTTTACAAACGTAATATTATATTACATGGACTCTCATTTTGCATTTTTAATATGTGCATAATATTTATATAGACTCTTTCATTGTACACTTTTAATATCTGCGTAAAATCCATGATGCAAGTAAAAATTTTCGTAGGAAATTTCTCTAGAAGAGCCCTCCGGATTCTTGTCTTGAATTTGTGAAACAATCCGCAGTACGTGGAATTTTTCAAAGAATGATTTCACAATTTCACGTACAATTAGTACAATGTGAAAACTATTTCTCTCATAACAGCACTAAATTTCTCTTTCCACTAGCATAGAATCGCTCGAATTATTCGAACTCGAAGTATACGCGCGTCTTCTGAGAGGACAATTTGTGGAGACTAAGTTTCTTATGAAGCCTCGTAATAAATCTTTCATCAAATCATTCAAAGTATTTTAATCTTTCAAAAGAGAACGTCAGCAAGACCATCTTATTGATATATATACGATTTTCATTCTCTTTCTTATCAATTAATCGATCATTTCTTAAAGGCATGCAAATCAATAATATTAATAAAAAAATGCAATTTATAGAACTTATATATATATATATATGTTTCAAAAGTCCATATCTCATGAAGATAGTAGCGTCTTTTAGATATAACTTTCACAGAAGTATTATTTATTGTACACTTGGCACCAGCCTCCGTCGAGTCTCCCGATTTATCGCAAGAAACTGAAGAAGTTGAGGACCAAGTTGGGAACAGTGTGTTTCTTATAGAAATATTTAAATAAGCTCAACTGGGGCAGATTTTTTTGCGTTTCAAGCGGCTGCTGATTTCGTCACGGCATAAATTTTTATTATTTATGTAGATTTATTATTTATGTAGATTGTTATTAATTCGACCAATTCCTCTGCGTACGATTTTTATTATTAAATTATGTTGCTGGCACTTGTGGAGTTTAATTCGTCACTGTCGCGTCCATTTTGAGCTTCGATAATGGATATTCTTAATGTAATGGTGCATATTTCAATAGTACTGCATTTCCGTGTATTCTCTTTAACAGTTTCTATCGAATTAAACGTAATAAAATGCACCGCAGAGGAATGTCGTATCGACAGCGCCTAATTGCGCACAATTAAATAATGGCTGCTCAATCGGTCGAAAGTTGAAACTCGGTTCTGATGCACAACGCTTTTTATCAAATACGATTCACGCAAAATGTAATTTATAAGAATAAAAGTTTTACGCTTGTATGAAATTTTTGCCCGATTTTGATATTAATTTTTAAATCTGGAAATATTTGAAAAATCGTGGTAGAACGAAAAATATTTTATTTATGTTACATATAAATATGTATATAATGGTTGCAAAATTACTATGCAAAGTTTATAGCTTCAATTAATGATTATAGTATATATTGCAATGGAATGGTCGACTGATTTGTTTAATCGACCAAAACTAGAAAGCCCTTTATTTCTCTGTATCTGAATTTCGCCATAACTGAATTAATTAATAATTAAGCAGACGGAATTATACGTGCTTGTGTGTGGAGTTCGTTCGGCAGGAAAAAGCTGACAATATATTGTACCGAGCTTTAATCTGGAAGTTGACATGTATTGACTTTGATTATTAATAATGTCAACTTAATTATTAATTTTTCCTCCTTGATTCACCATTAATGCTCAAAGAATTTCATAAATTGAAATTGATGTTCGCGTTAATACAGTCGAGATAGAGTGAACTCAATCGCATTTGTTCCGCATTTACAATGGCGGGCCA